TCCCAGGCAATCTCTTTTCCTCCCAATACATACTCAAAGAAAGAAGAAATTCAGTGAATTGGAACGCCTTATTTTGGGGTCTTCAGTTTATAGGAAGTTTATGAAAACTTTCCTAGAAATTTACGGGTAAGCTATCGTAGGTTTCGTTATCCATTTTAACATGAGAAAAAATCTGTAACCTTCTGCAGCATCACTGCCAGTCGCAGCTAACGAACCGATGGCAATTGTGATTGCTTCCATTTCCCACTCGTCAAACTGTAAGTCAGAATATAAGAAAGAAAGAAAAGTAGTTGAATTTCGATGTACCTGATGAGCAAGCTCAAGCAGTTCCCTTTCGACTTTGAGTCTACCATCGCACCATTCCAGCAAAAGTGCTTTAGTCTTCTTACACTCCTTGATGTATGATTCGAACGCTTCCTCCATTTCTGTGTAGTAGTTGAAAGATCGAACTTCTAGACGGTGTAGTCAAGCACAGTAATTATGACTGCTCTACCCTGCATTACAGCACAAATAATGGAATTATGGACAAGCGCTGATTATACAATTTAAGACAATCGCACAAAAATTTACTTCAAGCGATGAGTTTTTATACTTATTAGAAGGCTTAAGAATTCAAAATGTCAAAAAAGAAAAATATATGTGATAGAATGAACTTCTCTCTGGTCACTCACTCTTCTAGTGAAACAAAAGAGGTGCGAAAGAGGTTCCCTTGAGCATGCTACAGTATCCTGACCAACCAGATAACAAACTGCTCGAAACGTTTACAGTGCTTCATAAAATTGACTGAGCTAACCGAAACAAGAGAGAACATTTGAGCAGCAGGGGTAATATGCGATTAGATTTAGAGCTTTAGACTGTTGAACTTGGAAGATTCGGAACAACGTCTTCAGGACCACTTTCTCCACGTAATTCTCGGTAAAACCAGAACGTAATCAAAGACGCACTGAAGCTAAATGCTTCAACTTCATTGGTCAGTGCCAAAAGATAGCGCATTGGAGATTTTGAATAAGCAATAAAGAGTATGGAACAACTGAAGCTCTCCTGATTCATGAGAGTAAGCTAGATAAATGAGGCTGATCTATGCAGATTCCTTGGGAGTGAGCGACGAGTGGTGGGCGCCACATATTTGGAAGTAAACACTGTCGGTCGCGCGAAGAATGCGAGTAGTTGAGCGACTGTGCACAGTGTCATGAACATTTTTGTCACAGGATCATCACAACACTTGCTCACTGAACGCCTCGTGTTTTATTGAATAGTCTTTCATCGATAGTCGGGCTGCATATAGAAGTAGGAAGAA